ATTTCTGTTCAGCCTATATTTATGCAATTATTTTTTAGGCACAAGGGCCAGATTTAAAAACATAGCAGGATTAACATCTATGAAGATTTTATTTGGAGCTAACATATCTACAAATAAATTAACTATAAACTCTCAACTGTAGTTAAGGTTAAACCTTATGGCTTGTCATTTACAGCAATTAAAAAAAATGTTTACAGTTCTCAGCAAACATTGACAATACTTTAACACACTTAAATGTATATAAATTTTAAAAACCAGAAAATAATTCATTTTCCCTAATACTTTTTAATGAATATTTTTAATTTTTAGTGACTACGTTTTTCATTAGTGGGTATCACTGCTCTGTCTCATCTAAGAGCCTGCAATCTCTTAGCACAATATACTCTTGATAAACTACACACTGTTTTCCTTCTGAAGCATCATTCTTGATTTTTCTGCCTACACTCTTCCATTGTGTGGACAGTACATAAAAAAAATACATCTTCCTGCTGGTGTGGATGCCACTCTTCATTTCTAGTATAATATTCATCTAATCAGACAATGCCTATAAATGCGACTTACAAGAGCAGGTTGTAATTTCATTAGAGATGTATTTACTGAGCTAAGCCAGCTGTTCTTTGCTGGAATGCAAAAAAAGGCCCAAGTGATTGCTACTCAGTCATTTTTAAGGCAACTGAAAAATACATTTGCTGAGCTAACTTCACTTTCCCAAAGAGCTGGCACTGTTAGCTTCTTCTGTGTAAAAGGTTTAAACAGTTATTATAGTGTGTCATAAATTTTAACTTGTAATTGAAAATCTCTTCACTTCCTGAGAAAAAAAAAAGAAAATATACGTATTACTTGCTATGTAATTACAGACTATGCAGCTGCTCTCTTTGACTCTGCTAGAAAATTTGAAGACATGAAACACTGTACAAACCTTATTCAAATTTTATTAAAGTGCTAGTCATAGATATGCCACTCTCATATTGGAGACTCTCAAGTAATATCACTTTTTTCTTGTTATTAGGAATGAAAAGCAGATGAATCAAGAGTTGATTCAAGCCATATTGAATTCCTGACAACACAGGAGACCATCAGACTCTTAGCAAGAAAGTATAATCTCTATTTCTGCCAAGCAGACATCAAAGGAAAGCTACCTGAACCTGTGGTTAGAAAAAGACTTCAATGTGTAAGTAAAAATGATTTTCATTTAATTTTCAATATTTCCTGATCATTCTGCATAGCTGCAGCTGGCTGAGTTGCTTTAGTACAGCTTTAGAACAATTTTTGTGCCATTTCCTTGAGGTGCTTATAAAGAAAAGAAACACTATTCATGAAGTTGTGAATCTAGTGTTTCAGCCAAAGGCATAAAGACTACTGACCCCACAATATCCTGTTCACCTCCAGTAGTTTGACACGAGTCATACTTGATTAACTATTCCGTTCGCCTTTGTATACTATGGAAGGTATGGCGTGATGTTGAATCTTTAGAGCAAGCAAGTAAAATAAAATATACACCATGCGCCTCTATCCTGGTTTCACAATCCATTTCAGTTTCTTCTGGCTGATTTAAAATGGACAGCTTCTGGAAAAAAAGCTTTATACAACCTATATTTCACATTGCCCTTTATTTCTGCCTATGGGTGCAGCATCAGTATTTTTAGCAAGCTACTAATATGCCGGATTGGTTTAGGGCCTAAAAAGAATTTTCAGGTCTGAATAATTTAATTAATTATTACAAAAATATACATAGCTTGCTCTGAAAGTAATGCCTCCTAATTATTTCCATAGAACCTACCACAGATACAAAGAGCACAGTAACAAAGATAGGGCAAATTCTCAGTTACATAACACTGTCTTTCTACATAGTCACCACCATAAGCTGTGCATTCTCACCAGTAATGAACAAAAGCCTGCAAGGCACACCTGTAAAAATCTGCATGGGTCACTGAAATGTCGCTCTTGCTTCTACTGAAACACAGTCACTGCGTCACAGTGCTCACATTCACTGTTTGGTCTCCATAAAAGCTCATCAACATTAATAAATGTAAATGGGTTCTTTACACACACTTCCATGCTGGACACCATTCCATCAGACTGTCCCTCTGCTGCCATCTGTCACGTGGCAGCAAAACATAATGGAATATTGGTGGGAAGGTTCAACCTCTACTGCGACATATCATCACATTCATCTTTGAGGTCATGGGCCAACACAGTAAAACAGAAGGCAAAAAAATCCTAAGAAAACAGCTATGCATAATTCACACCACCACTTCCACTTGGTACTTCCTAATGCTTTCTTAATTCCTGTCAAAGATACAGAAAAGCTACATAAAAAGCTCCATGATGTGTACAGAGATCTTTGAAATCTCAGGTCATGTCTAGAGAATTTAGGAAAAGAAGGTCCCTCTGAGTGACAGAGAGACATATTTTTTGCAGACACTTTAAAAATATTGACTAGATGAACAACTTTTAGGTCTTAAATTCAAAAATATAGGCTGATAGTTGTTTTAGATCATTAATTCAAAATAGTGAAAATTTGGAATACAGATCTGCACACTCAGAATAAACTTGTGTCCCATCTGTTCTTAGTTTCAAAGCACAATTGTTCATAAATTTCTGGGTAATTACGAGGACAATTAAACAAAATACCTAAATTAAAATTTTTTAAATTTTCATATTTTCAAACACATTTACTTCTTTAGAAGTTGTTCCCTCCCCCAGTCCAACTGTGAGTGGAGATGTTTACAGTTCACCAGGGACTTACATAATTAAAACTGTAATAGCCTGAAATTATTTCCCAATTATTACTCAACACACCAATTGGTGGAGCAATACTGTTTACATTTGCCACCAGAAATTACTGCTATTGCTTTTCTCTTTGCTTTCACATATTTCAGTAAAAAATTGAAAGAACTTGAAGGAACTAATATAGAAAAGCAGAGAAGGGTTTCTGGAATACTATGGATACAGCATCACTGATTCTGGCATTCATCATCAGTGGAATACAGAAACAAAACGCATAGAAATACAGAGTATTCAGTTTATCCCACTTTGCTGTTACTGACCAACGTATTTTTCAAAATTGAATTAATAATAGAAAATTATAATAATTTGCAGTACTTACTGAAGCAGGTATCTACTATAATTATCTTGTAACCTAGGGATGTGGCCAAAAGGAAATTATTGGAATAATAATTAAAAAACAACAACAACAAAAAAGCCCCACAGCCAAAACCAGAAGGGCAAATGTGCAGAGAACATCACTAGCTGTAGAAAGAGGAAATTGTCTTTGAAATCTCTAAGATAAATAGCAGCACAGATCTGCTCAGAAAAAGGATTTATTTATTTATGAAATTATAACAAAGGGAATTCCTTCAAATTTCATAATTCACCATTTATATTAAAATGCTTAAAATACAGGACTTCAAAAAATGAAAGTGACATTCTTTTCTAACCTCAAAAAAAAAAAAAAAAAAAAAAAAGAAAATTTTATATTTCATCAAGGAGAAAAAAATTAAGAAATTTCTGCCCTAATTTTCATTTTCTCGCCTCATTCTTTCAACTCACCCCTGGGAAAATTTGTTTGCATTAAAAAAAAGAGAAAAATTCATTTCAGATAGTTTATCTTCTGTGATTAAACAACGTGCATCATGGTTTGGAAATTTCCACCCTTTGGACATTGAAGATTCTGCTTATGCATATTGTTTTTGAAAACATACAACATACAACAATTAATTACAACAATTACATACAACATTACAACAATTAATTAATCATTTAACAGCAGTGAAAAGAAAAAAAAAAAAGAAAAAGAAAACCACTGCAGAAATGAACAGTTTCTGAGAGTGAAGTTGAATATCATCAGAAGGTATCTGATATTAAAACACTATGATAACTGTTCCCATTTCCTGTTACATTTTTTATCTTAGAAAGAAAGACATCACAACTGGACAGAAGAAATTACCTCAAAACACACAGTAACTTGTTTTTAACAGTAAAATATATAAAAAAGGTACATAAAACCACTTTAAAAACCTAATCCAGCATGCAGCCTAATCAAAGGCACTGCAACTGCACCACCTGTTCTGCTTACAAGACCTAGAAGTAGGTATGATTTAAAACAACTTAAGCAGTAAGACTAAATCACAGCAGCACAATACATTCACTAGTATTTAATTAAATAATTCCATCTTCACATCAAACATAGAGCTGAGGAAGTGGAAGCAAAAACAGCTACAGACCAATTTGAGTTTTGTTATTTTATTCAAGATTTAGATATTGAAAAACAAGTGATGTTAACTCCAGATGTAATGATGACCATTTACTGTATGACTCCTAGGAATTACCACACTTTATCTACTTAGGGTGAAGATGCAAGGCATGCTGTAATGATGAAAGAAGCCAAAACTTCCAGCTTGTTTTAGTTAGTCCCCGTCACAGCAGTATGCTCTCAGAACATTTGATATACACTGACAGGGTTAAACCAGTCAAACACCAACACAGTTGCTCTTTTTTTAAGACCATGATTGGAGAAGCAGAAATAATACTGGTGACCAAAAGAATTAACCTAGTGTTTTCCACTTCTGACAAAAATATCAGAAGTTCTTTTGACTTCTCCAGTGGAAGAGTTTTCTGAGACATAGTGAACATTAGCAGAAGAACCAGCAAAGCTCTGCCACAAATGCATCCCATAAGTGTCACAGAGAAGGTCTGTACCTTTCCCTTTTCTGAAGGCTACTTTTACTAGTGCAGCCCTTAAGACATCTTCAGTTTTGTCCTGAAGATGCAGTGAATAGCCGTCTGTTCACAACAGCTATGCATCAGTTTTCTTCCTTGCACTGGAATCCATGACCTGGACAATGCAGCTCAGAGTGGGTTTCCCTGCTCAGCTGGCTCTAGAACACAGTTTGTAGTGCCAAAGACCAGAAACATGGGAAATATGCAGTCAAGAGTAGTTTCAAAGCTGCTCAACAGTGGAAGTTTGAATGCGAGGGGAACACAAATGTTGCTCTCACCTTCCTCTTGGCAGGTCTGCATCGTCCTTCTTCCAGCGGACGGTGGGCTGCGGGTCCCCCTGCACCTGGCACCGGAAATCCACGGCCTCCTCCTCCAGCACCACCTGGTTGATTGGTCGCCTGAGAAACGTGGGCCGCTCTTAAAAAGAGATATTAAAAATTAAATTCCTCAGTGAGTCAGAGGGCTGAAATGAAAAAAAACTATTGACTTTTCAGCAAATTTTTGTTTACCGATCCGCGGAAGATAGAAAAGAGGGCTGAGTTCCACAAATTCAGACAAGTGGAACTGATGATGTGCACCGGCGGCCAGAACAGTGATGGCTGGGATGGAGATGCTGAGGTTGTCATGTCTGGCCTTCACATAAATGCTGAGTGCCACTAGCACGAAGCGCGTGCCAGCACCGGCTGTCTGCCTGTCACAGCAACTGGGGACGTCTTCCAGATCATGCCCTTCCATGTGAACTCTTTAGCTCTGCACTGCTGCATGGTCTAAGTGTGATTTAAAAGCTACTGTCTGCTCCAGAAATATATGAGCTGCCCACAGAGATATCCTGCCTTTGGCAATGATCAATAGCTTGATGCTTTGGAGGAAAATGCAAACTGTGTGTTAGGTGTCCCAACCGATTGAGAGCTGTTGTGTGGAGGTCAAATCTTCACTGATTTCCATCACTAACTTCATCATGGAAAAATAAATTAAGGCCTCAATAATAAGTTCTGTTTACCCTTGTTATGTTAGTCTGCAAAGCTACAAATATTATTAATCATCATAATGTTGCACAGGCCTGTTTGAAATCCAGATGCAGAGCCACAATCTGATGTCAGTTAGAGTGGTACAAACTCAAAGTACCGGTAATTTCATTTGAAAGGATGTCACTGGGGTTAGTTTCCAAGTTGCCTTTGGATTGCATAAATTTTGTTCTGTCCTCTCCTAGCCATACCACACTTTTATTGTCATAAATTATTTATGCCAGAGACAAACCATTATAAGACTGGGTTTACATGAAGCAATATTTCCACTCAAGACAGGGATTTATTATAAAGACATCTAAAACCAGTTACACACTACTTTTCACATTTCATTCTCAGTAAGTTGAGTGGTATGATGTCACTTAGAAAATTATTCAAAATTTACACAGATGTAAGCAATACCAGACTCTGACTTAGGCAGATTGTTTTCCTAACCACAGAGCTGAATTTATGGGCTTGCTATAGATGTTTAACATATGCAAATTGAAAAACAAACAAATAAACAAACAAAAACATTAAAAGAACATTAATAAAGTTGCAAAATTTAACATGCAGCACCTAAAAGCCAGAAGTGTCAAAATTAAGGCTGTTTGTATGCCTTTTCTTCATTCCCTTTCTGCTTTATCGGAACGGTTGCAATTACATGATCACATGCAACTCTTCCCCTAAACATGTCTGTATGGTTGGTTTTCATCTAATGAGCAGGTGTTTAATATTTTGCTTTTGTTGTACTGTTTAGTGGGTGGCCTCCTGTTGTACAACTCAAACCTCTCTTCAAAGAAAGAATTATTGCTTTCCTCCTGATCTCCATTACACCTATCTCAATGCTTCATAAACAATTCATTTACTTTCACAGCCCCTCTCGGAGGGGTGTGATAGAGATCTAAGAAAGCAAGCTTAAAAAAAAATCTGCTAAATTTTCATGCCTAATTTGAGACACAAAACTGTCAATTTATTTTTTCTTAAGAATTTAGCATTCATTTTATATGTTCAAAGCTCAGCTTCCACTGAATTCACTTGCATCTGATAAAATGTGAACTTATACAGATTGAAATAGTAAAGCAGAAAGTAAGGAATACAAAAAAAGCCTGTTAATAATTATTTGTATCAGTGACTCAGCATCACATGGAATTCCATAATACAAGCATAGTTACCTAAAGGCAGGGAAAAATATATTTTGTCAGCAGAGCAACAGACACATTCAAGAATCAACAGCAATTTTCCAGGTGTTAGATAGTAACGTGTCTAAGGGACAGACATTGTTCTCCCTGTTTTCTCCCAAGCCATTCCTGTTCTCCAACTTTTTGTCCCTTTTTGTTCTGTATCCTGTGCCTGAAGCTTGCAGTAGCTGTTGGGAACATAGGTGTAGAAAGAATGACCAGGGAACTACTGACCTGTAAGCCTCAACTCTATGCTGGGGAAGATCATTGAACAGATCCTCCTGGAAGCTATGCCAAGGCATGTGGAAGAGAGCGATGTGACACAAAACACAGAACAACAAAGAACAAGTCCTACCAGTCCAACTTACTGGCTTTCTATGACTGTGTACCTGCACCAATGGAAAGGAAAAAGCCAGTGATGTCATCTGTCTGGACTTCAATAAGGGACGCAGTCCCCAGTAACATCCTTCTCTCCAGACTGGAAAGATACTGATTTGACGGATGGACCATTTGATGAATGAGGAACTGGTTAAGACTGTACCCACAGAGTGGTGGTCAATGGTCCAATGTCCGGACAGAGATCAGTGACAAGTAGTATCCCTCAGTATTTGAACGAATTTTCTTTAATGTCTTCCTCAGTAACATCAACAGTGGGACTGAGAGCATCCTCAGCAAGTTTGTGGATGACAGCAACTGAGTGGGGTGGTCAATGCACCGGAGGGATGAGATACCATTCAAAGAGACCTAGAAGTCAGTGCGCCCAGGTGAATCTTATGAGTTTCAGTGAATTAAAGTGCAAGTTCTTACAGCTGGGTCACAGCAACCCCGACTATCAGTACAAAGGATAGAGACATAACCCTGCTGAAAAGGATGTGGGTGTACTGAATGGATAGCCATCAATGTGCCCTCGCAGCCCAGAAAGCCAACCGTATGCGTCCTGGGTCGCATCAAAAAGAGCGTTGAGGGAGGTGATTCTGTCCCTCTATTCTGTGCTGATGAAATCTCACCTGGAGTACTGTGTCTAGATATAGGGTTCTCAGAGCAGGAGATACACTGACCTGTTGGAGCACATTCAGAGGACAGCCACAAAAATTACCCAAGAGATGGAACATCTTCCCTGTGAGGACAGGATAAGAGAGTTGGGGCTGTTCAGCCTGGCAAAGAGAAGGCTCTGGGAGGACCTTTCAATATCTACAGGGGACTTCTGCAAAAAAGGGGACAGATATTACAGCAGGCGTTGCGATTATATGACTGGAAGAAATTATTTCCAAAAGAGGGGAGAATTAGACTGGATGTAAGGAAAAAAAAATTATGTTAAGAGTAGTGAAGCACTGGAACAGATTGTCCAGAGATGTGTTGGAAGAACTGTCTTTGGAGATCTTCAAGGTAAGGCAAGATGGGGCTCTGAGCAACCTGATCTAGGTGTAGGTGTCCCTGTTCATTGTAGGGGAGTTGGAATAGACAACTTATAAAGGTCTCTTCCAACTCAAATGATTTTCTGACTCTGTGACAATTTAAAAGCATTAAAAATAAAAATCAGCTAAAGTGAACATCAAGCATGGAAGAATTCGGATAAAGACATTTTAGTCTGACAAGCATTTAAACTGGTCAAAGTAGCAAAAGCATTAGCTGTCTGCCTTAGCACGTAGCACTAAGCAGTGCATTTGGCCTATCTGTGAAGACGTGCATCAAAAAGGGAATATGTTAATTAAACTTTCTGTAAGTTTTTCTCACAACTTTTCTCCTAAAAGAGCTCAGTCTACATTCTGGTATTTGTGTTTCAAGAGATGATCCTTAACCAAAAAATTAGATCCCAATAAACATCCTTATAGGTGATTCAAAGTTAGTTAGTTTTGAACACAATAACTCTGCATATACCTCTATATTTGCTTGATCTGCATACAGAAATAATTGTTGACATGTCTACAAAAGCTGCCTGTAAAAATCTAAGAAACTAAGACTTGCATATTTATGAAACTGCTACTTGTGGCTATAAAAGCTTCTACACAGGAGATCAGAAAATAAATTTCTATCACATTTTGAAGAGAACTCTGCTGATGAAGCAGTAAATGGCCAAAAGATCATTATGTAAATCACTCAATTCTACACCAAGACAATTTAGGAATATATAACAAAACTTTCAGATCAGGTTCTTAAAAATTGCTTTTTCCAAAATAGTTACGAATTTGCTAGAAAATAAATAGCTTTGTAAGTACAGATCACAGTTATCAATGACATGCAAATAACAATAACTGCTATTTCCATTTTTCTATTATCTCTACATTTTTCACAGTATGTTTCGGGAAACAACAAGTTCTCTCTCACGTTGTTTCCTGTTTTTGTATCATTCAGACAACTCCTTGAATACATTCAATTGCTAATTATACAGCTATAAAGTGATCAGAGTGAATGCCATTGCTAATGCAATTAACATTCTTTATGTGAGATTAACTGGATTTGAGTCACCTGCATAACTTGCTTACAACGTTAATCTCTCAGGAGACAGAGCACTGCTTGCCTGAGCACGCTAAATAGAAAATGTATCTTTGCACAGTCAGGTCAAATACAGTTTCAGAGGCAAACCTGAGAAAATACACCATGATTTTTTTTTTCTTTTTAAATGGTTTGCCCATAAATAAAGCCTTATGGTATAAACAGACATTGTTACTCTGTCAAGGGCTTTCAAAATATAATATATTTGAAAAACAAAGTGCAATAAATTAAAAATAGTAACATACATAAAACTTTTAATAGATTTATTTTGTAAGTTTTTAGTGGGTAAATAAAGCACCTGCTTTCTGGGCTTTCTCTGATGAATATTAAAAATCTTTGAAGAGAGCTATAAAATAGAACACGGTTATATGTCATGTCAAAGAGTTGTAGTACTATCGGAATGACCTTTCTAACTTCAGAATAAACTTTGCTTGCAATTATAGAAGGGGATTGTTGCTGCAATCTAGACACCTACAGTATGTTGCAGTGCTTCAAATATGCACTGGAAGAAAATCACAGAACAGTTTCAAGCTGGAAACATACAAAAAATTCTTCCTTGCTTTGGGTGCTGACACAAGTAAACCCCAGAACTCAATTTCTCCTCCATTTAACAAGAAGTCTGTGTATCACACTGTATTAGAGAGATTCAGGCGACCTTCAGATGTATTATTGCCCTTTCTCAGTTTCTCAAAAAGTCAGACAGCCATATATGGGATCTCAATCTAATTAAAATGATCCTAACTACCTTAATATATTTTGTCTGCTGAGGCAACTGCTACAATGAAAGATTTGATGGTCTCCATAAGGTGAAGACTCAATCTGATTTAAAACTGTTTTCTCCTTTGCTAGAGAGAAGGCATCATTTTTTGAAAATATTCCCTGTTGTACAAAGAAGTAATAAAACATGAGTTAAAAAGATGATTCTGGGGAGGGATTTAATAGTAAATAGTTAAAGAAAAAAAACATTTTTCACGTTAGTGTTCTAATGCAAAGGAAAGAAAGAAACATTAGATGACTGGAAGAAAGTTTCACTTCAATATGCTGTCAATAATGTAGATATTCCATTATCTTCAACATGAGCTGCATAAGTAAAGCTCTCTGCCAAAAATGAAGATGAGGAAGAAGATAGCATGGTAGGATGCCAGCCAAACAAATGAAAATACAGTTGCAATAGCACATGTTTTACTATTTGAAGATACCCTTGTACAACCACTTTTTAGGCACTTTTTCTGTTTGAAAAATAAGCACTTATGTAGACATTGCATACTTATGAGCTAGCCAATATGCAATGAGCTTGCACAGTGAGGGACTAAAATAGCACAGTGAGGGACTAGTAGCACAGTAGGACTAAAATTACTTTTTTCAACTCATTGTTTTCCTCCTATTGCATACATTTAACAAGGTATTAATTGCAGAGATAGTTTTTACTGAGCATAAATACAAAATTTGGAGTTTGATCAAACCCTTTTCACTATTGTATCATCCTATTGCGCCTTATCAGTATCAGTGGAAAACAAATACTGCAAAGACATGATGCTTCTTTACAAACTGCCACAAGCATGCTGCAAATGGGAAGTATTAAGGATTTGAAGAAAAATAGGAAGACAAGCTCTGAAAAACAAAATGCACACTGGTAACATCTCTGTCTTGAACTGTGAATGTAAACTTGATTTAGGCAGGTTTTCCACATGGCTGGGAAATCTTTTGGGACTAATTTGCAAGATATGATGCGACAAGATTCTGCTAGGGCCTTCCACATAGAATTCAGGAAAGAAAAATAGGGCACAGTGTCTTCATTAAGGGGTTTTTGGATTTCTTCTTCTAACATCTTGTCATCACAGTATACTCTTGCTGGAACTATGGTATCTGTTTCAGCCTGACAATATCAAGAGAACATCAAACGCAAATATTTCTTCAAGCATCAGAAGAAAGTACCTCTTCATCCCACAGGACCTTATTAGCTGAAGAAAGGTTTGGGTACCAAAGCTAAAATCAAAGATTATCACAAAACAATATTTAATATGTCTAAATTCACATGTCTTTTAAGATATTTTCATACTCTTATTAGTTACAATTCATATTCTTTTGAGGTTATTCTAAATATAACTCACTTCTTTTCAGTGCCCGGTGCCAGCCTCTTGAAGTTGATAGATTAAGGCTTTCATTGATTTCACTGAGCTTCAGAATCAATATACAAGATATATCTTTGTACATTCTCTTCAAACAAAACATTTGAAGTCCAAAGGAACAAAAAGGAGTCTGAAATAGTTAAACCATCCTGAAAACTTACTTGAGAACAGTATGAGAATATGACAAAATTGTAAAAGGCTAACTTAAACACTAATTATTACTTTAATTTCTAGTTCCATATTATGTTTTTATAAACCTAGCTTTCTTACAAATTGAAATGAAATTGTTTCTGTTTTTCATCTTACCTGAATTCTGTTCAGCCAAAGGCTATGAACCCAAATACAAAACAGCATAATTTGTATCATGCTTCTGAATTTGGCATTTAAAAAATGGGTCCATAATAATAAGGTGCTATGTTGCCTCTTTCTGTGAATGTGAGAATTGATGGATTAGTTATTAACTTTCCTTAAAAGCCACCTTGAGGTCTGACAGAATCTGTATCCATGCTATACTAAAAGATTACACCTTGGAGCATCACAAAGGCAAAAACAAGCAACTGTGGAAAAGAAGATGACAAAATCTAATGCCATTGCTCTCATTATTCAAACACTATTCAAAAATAATTTTGGGAAGTTCTGCTTACATTATCAGTTTTATATTTTCCTTTGACAGTATTCACTTTCACAAGTTTTTGCTTGTGGAAGAATAGTATCTTGGGAATAAAAAAAGTGCTTGAACATCCTTATCCCTGGCGAGGGCCTAATGTTGAAAACTATGTTTCCTGTGCATATGGGGTTGGGAAAAAAAATGACTTGTTTTGTGAGAGCTGTACAGGCATTATCCTCAACAATCTTCCAGCAAAGGTTATTGAATGGGTACCCATCTGATTGGATATATTCTGCATATGGGAAACTTATTTTCTCCTCCTATTTCTTTCCAATGGTTTTATTGCCTTCTTTATTTTTTATTTTTTTATGTTTAACTCAGGAAAGGTGTAATCTTTTAGGCTAGGTTTCCATGCTGTTCCTGCCGGGCCACCAGTTACCAGCATACTGACTCAGTTTTTCCACAGGCAATGCTTCAAGCTAAATTTACTGCACAGGAAGCCAGAGATCTGTCAGAAGTGATATGCATAAATTGACTTCAGGTATTGCAGAAAAACTTGCAGAGCCAAAAGTAACATGTGGCTGAATCCTGGAAAGCCTCGAGAGCTAGTGTGAAATTTCCAACAGAGAAGAGTGCTTTTTAAGGCTGCCCTCACTGTATGGAAAGGTTTTTCCAGGTTTGTTATTTAAACAAACAATCAACAACATCAACAAAAGCAAGCAAGCAAAAAATAAAAGTAAAAAAAAGAAACAATAATATGAATCTGCTAATCAGCATTTATTGTCTAGACTGATTAAACTGTCTCCAGTAGATACACTGCTTCCTGTAAACATCATGGGTAATGCTTTACAGAGCACTTATGCACACATGCACCCATGCAGGATCTGCTGCCCGTAGTATGGGAGAGGAGCACAACTGTTCTGCTGATGGAAGACAAAGCCAGGCCATCCTCTTCTGTACAGAGTGGACCAGAATTAACCTGAACACATCTATACAGTCAGCCCAATATGCCAACACACAGTTTCAGGACTAGATAGCAGCCAGGGAATGGGCACATGAGAGTTGAATTATCTTGTCAAACAATAGATCATAAATTGAGCCACTTCTTCTTGCATGCTACTTATAGGGAAGACAGGAAGGGAATACCTAAACACGAGAGGAATTTTATATAGGAAGATAGCATATTGGAAGTGAATTTTAAATACATTTTTTTTAAACAGACTAGCACAGTAAAATATAGTTAAAGCTTTAAATTTCATTAATTGCTAATTTTGTTCTGTATTCACAAAATAGATTTAGATTATATTTTATGAGTTGATTTCTATTATTAAAGTCTCTCCAAAAATCAGAAAATTGTAGTTGACTGTTTTACATATCAAGAAAAACCTAATATTTAGGTATATGACATACAATTACATGCATATTTCATAATTTTTATTCCTACAGCTCAGTGGTTTTTAACAAATTAGTTTCTTAAGGATTTCTTAAGGCTTTGTAGTTTAGGGTCTCAATGTACTTGTTATCCACAGGGAATAATACCAGAGATTATTAGCACTTAAACTGATGAAGAAGATATCCCATGTTGTCTCTTTAACATCTATATAATGGCACAACCTCAACAGATTGCCTGTGAAGGACATGATAATTTAATGGAAATCCTTTCTGTACTTTTTGCAAGGTATACTATTTCTGTTTTTAAGTCATATGCTTCCATGAATACATGACAAAATGAGTAGAGTGGAAGCCTTCACAGCCTTGTAATATCAGAGAACAGCAAATCTTCAAGTCACTCACAAATCTTGTCAAGCAGAATCTTTTCTGTGTTCTCTAGTAAGACTCACAATATAACTTTTAAGGTGCTGAACCATATTTATATGCAAACGCAGACAGTAATATCTGCAATTTTGTTTTCTAGTGCACCATATTAGGCATTACGTGAGCAAATTAGGAGTACCTACTCTACAAAGTAGCTGAGGTATTTATGCAAAGTCTTACTAGATTTACAAGCAGTCTTGTTTGGAATTTCAGTATTCTATTGAGAAGGTGTTGTAGGAAGAAGCACTAAGAGTATCTCTTTTTCATATGTATGTAATTAATTTTTTTTTAGCAGTGAAGGCTTTTTTCTTTATTGACTTTCTTTTGTTTGTTCAAGATGTCTTGACTGATTCCTACAGAATCACAGCTACTGGTAAATAGAAATGTCATGACTACAGGATGTACCACAGCAGTATTTAACGGCTTTCTTTCTTTTGTTAGCAGGATGCACCCAGCTGTCTGATCAGTATTACTATATTCTAGCTCTGGACTCTCTCCTATCCATTTTTTTGATTCATTTAGCAATACCAAAACCCAAAATAATGTCCTTGGTTTTCAGGATGAAAATCTACTTTGTGTCCTTTAAAAGACAAATGGCAGAAATAACACTATATTTTCAAAAAGTTGATCTCAGATTTTCTCTAATGACTTTTTACTGGTCCATTGAGCTCTTCTGTGCTCTCCTCCAAAGGTTTGATTTCATATGAATAAGTAATTATTTAAATAGGCAATACTGTTCCAAACCTCTGTTAAGTTGTTGCTGTCAACTGTATTAGAAGGGGCTAAGTTACTTTCAGCAAATTAGAAAGGAAGAGTATTATTTTCCTGTATTATCATTTCTAAGCATATGCATAAAACAAAGGACCTCCAAAGAAATTTAAATAATTTGCTTAGAAGGAAATTCTTGGACCATCACAAATCTATAATGTTAAATTGTAGCCACTGAAACCAGTAGCTGAAAATGCAGTTTATGCAATATTATTCCCTTTTGCTAACCTGATTTTGTGTCATGTTCTGATGAGTCACCTACATATACCTATCAATTCAATATATAACATTTCTAGAGAAATAGAAACAAAAACTAGAGTAGATTTACCAAAGACAGTCAGCTCTGCTGGATCACTGTCTCGTTCCCCCACCATGTTGGTTCCAACGCAAGTGTACATGCCAGCATCACTTTTCCGTGTATTGGAGATCATTAGCTTCCCACCACGTATCTGTTTCAAAACAAGAAATACACTTTAAAATTCAGTTAAACAGAAGATATCAGAAAAAACTACCCAGGCAAGCGAGCTCCACAGTTAAAGGTATAAATTAAAGTATAAGTTTTATAAGTTAAAGTATAAATATTCCATTTGTAAATATATGTAAGGCTGCAAAATAATAATCCCATACCTTTAAATATCTTAAAGATGATCTAGAACACATTTTATCTTACTGATTGCTTTTAAATGTGGGGTTTTTTTCCCTTTGATTTTCATTAGATGCTTTACTTTTATCACTGCTTGCTGCCTCTTTGCCAATGCAGCATGTTTCTATTTCTTGCATGATGATATGTAAAACACTCTTGACATCTCTGTTAAGAAAAACAGTTTCACTTAGTTTTATTTAGCCAGTTCATTTTATTGTTACTGTTGCCTGAAATTTCCTTGTTCACTGATTAATACAGATTTTCCCTTTTCCTTGATGCAAACAGATTGAATCTAGACCAAATTGAGAATTCACCTCACTCTCATAAAGCTTAATATTTTCCTGGCTACAGAAGCAAAATATGTTTGCAGAGTGAAAGAGCAGAGTAGATGAAAGAAATAAAGTAACAAATTTGCAGGCTATGAAGTGTTAGGACATGAATGTAGTGCTTCAAAATAAGCTAGGAATAATAGCCAAAGAAACTTAAGAGACAGGAAGTGACACACAGTTCTCTGCCACTTTCCCATTCATCTATTTTTGAATAGATGATCTGGCCCAAAATACCACAAGTAGCAACTACTTAGATTGCTCAACTAGAAATACCATTTATAGACATCTGAAAGAGTGAATAAGTTTCCTAACAGTACTTCAACAATGAATAAGATCAGCACTGGTTGAATTACAAATCACCTTATACAACATAAAAAAAAAAAAAAAAAATCTATTAAATTAATATCAATAGTGAAAAACTTAATATAAAAAAAAAGGAAAAAAAAAAAAAAAAAAGGAATTAAATATGTCCATGCATGCTTAATTTGTCCCACCAGTTTGCGCACAGCATGGAATAATTTCCAGTCACACGATAGGTTAAATCTCTGTGCTGGGTCCTTTTTCATTCAGTACACAAAAGGAACCATCACAAAAATACCATCACTACTCATTTACTCACTACACATTCCTATTCAGGAACAATTCAACTTCAGAACATAATTTCAGTATTTCTTCAGAATACATAGCCCAATTTCTATCCTAAATTTTAGCTTATTAATGTAATCCTCAGCTACTGTTTTTTTGTTTGTTTGTTTGTTTCCACATAGAAGATCTGTGTACTCCATTGATACGACTGGTTTCATCTTTAAGACACCTCTCTTACATAGGGTCTGATATTGTTCTCATTTTACAGAGAACTGAAGTTAAGAAAATGTACGGCCGAACTTGTCAAAGGCATCCGCTAAGTTCCAAAGTGGGACAGCTCACATCTAACAGAGTACCTCACACAATCAAACTTACTGTTCTTACAGGACTCAGTTATAACTATTGCACAAAGCAAGCCTCAGGAAGTTCAAGCTGGACGCACGAATCAGAAGGAATAAACAGAGGAAAACTCACAAGTATATTAACAAGTCACTATGGGAATGATGAGTATGTTTAGATTTACTTTTCCCTGTCTCTGCAGTTTTGGAACCCATGACTCCTCTGTCTGTCCTTCCACAGACTCAACCCAGCAAATCTCAAAAACCTGTCCTATTCCTAGTCTGTGACTTCGAAGCCAAGCAGTTTCTGGTCTTCATTACAGCGGTTTATGCGATCAGGTACAAAGAAAGACTCCAAGACAGTCTGCTGTGCTCAGCTGCTGTGCTTTTAATGCAGGCTTCGTGCCTATAAAAAACATCTGAGATGTACTCACACTGATCCGCTCTTCCCTGTCATCAATACGGACTTTATCTTTTTTCCAGTAGATGGTAGGCTCAGGGTGCCCACGAGGTGGCTGACACTCCAGTATTGCAGGTTCTCCAGCTGCCACCACAACATCCGTAGGGTTTTGGCGGAAGTCATCTCGTAGCACTAATGTAGTAAATAAGGGAGAGAAGAAAATGTTAGTTGAATTGACATCCTTGTACGAGAGGGGAAAAAAATAAAAGATCTGTAGCACCCATTAGTCTTTTCACCCTTAATATAAGGGTCATTTTCCCTTATGGGAATCAACAGTCCTTGTAAAAGTAGTAGATTGATGCTTTTTTTGTTCTTAATATTTCTGCAACTTTGACTACTGTTTCAGTGTCCCACAACAGTGAAAGGAAAAAATATTTAAATTACCAAGCTATTTGAAAATTAAATTGGGCAGTGCATGTTAGCTTCTCACATAAATCGAGCTCTTATAAAGGATTAGGTACAACTAGCTGGCTTCGGTATGTTACAATGATATCCATTTCATCATTATTCCTCCATGTGTATCCTGGTCTGTAGGTTAATCAACATTCTTATAAAACTGAAGATTTTTCAAGATGAACTACTGAAATAGAATTTAGGGCATTTCCCCTCCATGAATTTCAGCTACGTAAGGCTTTCATTACAGCTTTTAAGCAGCTTTTTAAAGGGTTCTTGCCCTTAATGAAAACAGGGCCCTCTGAGAAATTAGAAAACACCGTATCTTAGTGAAGGAGCAAGTCAGGAAGAGTTCAGCAGAAATTGCTTAGTCTCATCTCATAAGCAGAGATAATTTACTGCTTTCAATATTAATGAAATGTGCCCCATTTTAACATTTGGAAGTAGATATTTTTCTGGTCTGTAATAAGCCACAAGAAAATATGATTAATACATAGAAGAACTGGTCTCTGAATGGGCTGATGTGAGTAACCTGTATAAAGGTAGCACTCAAAATGACATACAAGGTAACACACTGCTTTGCATTTTGGGATACACAGATATATCCCAGAGGAAGGAAGGAATTAATTGGCAGCTAATTCCTTTCCTAACAGTAAGAAGGTGAATATTTACACCTTACTCTTCAAGCATAAAATAAAACTGACAGTTGGAAATGGGTGCAACTCTGGCAAGAACTTGTTATTCTCAATAATATACACAATAGATACACATTTTCCAACAGATAATGAAAGACTCAACTCCAAAATACTTCTGATTAATACCAAACACTCCAATACTTCTGACTTCCTATAACCAAACTGACAGAAATAGAAATTATAGTACCTTAAGATCAAAACCTTACAAAATGCACAACACAGTAGTATTATGCTGAAGATGGTGGGCTGCACCTCTCTCATAAAAAACGGCTGGGGGACCTGGGCTTGTTCAGCCTGGAGAAGACTAGGGGAGATCTTATTGCAGCTTTCCAGTAGTACAAAGGAACTCATAAACAGGAAGAAGACTGACTTTTTTTTGTGTGATCTGATAGTAATAGGACAAGAGGGAATGGCTTTAAACTAAAAGAAGGGATATTTAGATTTGATAATAGGAGGAATTTTTACTCAGAGGGTGGTGAGACATGGGCACAGGCTGCCCAGAGAAGTTGTGGATGCCCCATCCCTGGAGGTGTTCATTACCAGGTTAGACAGGGCCCTAGGCAGGCTGAGCTGGTGGGTGGGAACCCGCCTATGCAGGGAGGTTGAAACTGGATGATCTGCAATGCCTATTCTAACCCAATCCATTCTATGATTCAATGATTTTGTATTACACCATTTTTCAAACAAAGCCAAGAAAGCTGATACCTCAGGGAAAAAATGAGGGGGAAAAAAAGGTCTTACAAAAGCACCTATTTTGGGAAACACTTTCATGTATCTCTGGCACTATTATACTACACAGGAAAAAAAGTACTTCTAGGCAGTGATATGTTGTCTTTCACACAATTGACAAATAGGTAACATGAACTTCTACTATCATAACATGAAAAATAATATTAATTTATATTGGATTAACTTTTTATATAATTGCAGAACTCCAGTGCAAATTCATTAGTGGAAAATCCCCAGAAAATCAGCAGTTCCAACATCACAACGACTTTATCCTTCCCACTCCTAACTCTTGGCAGTAATGCCAATGAAATCATTTTCCTTGAATGCTACGTGAAGCTGAAGAACAGAGTTTCTTGGGGCGATTCACAGCAAATTACATTCACTTTCTCTGAGTCATTCCTGCAACTGTGCAAGGTTCTAATCAGCTGCAGAATATGAAGCTGAGGAGATCTGATTTTAACATGTTCCTTTACTCAAGTCCTACTGCAAATGTGACTTGATGGAAGACAAAATTGATACTAGAGTGTTTACTTAATCTTGCTGTGTCCATCAACACATATACAAATCTTAGATATATCCCAATATTTCCAGCCATAGCATTCTGTGTTTTGGAGAAAAGCAAATAACATTGTGCGAGAAAAATGAAATAGGTAAAAATAAAGTTGAGATAGAAAGAGAAAAATGTGTAGAACACAAAGAGAAAACAAATCAGAGAAGAAAAGGGGGAACACAGAGTTTAGAGAGAATAAAAACGAAAAGCCAGGTAGAGGAAAGAAAAGAATACCAATCCCACCCCCCCCCCCCCCAAAAAAAACAACCCAAAATGATTAGAGGGCATAGGCTGCCATTTCTCTGCCTCAGTGACTTTAGCAGAATATAATAACACCAATACAAAGCACAGACTAATCTGATCAATGCAGCTACACCAGCACATCCAAATGTTACCCCATGTGACATGCAAGGGCCCATGATGGAGATTTTGGGGTGCTGGCTTGCATGCAGCAGACCTCAGCAATACAGAAAACAACAGAAGGAGGGAGCATCAACAGGAAGCGGAGCTCACACATATTAGGATAAATGGAAAAGTTGCAGCACAGCTTAGTGCATTCACCATATCTAATAGCACAATCATCTGTGAAAACAGAAAAACGGTTGAGAGCTGCAAAATATTCCTCAGCCAATTATCCACAATTGCCATACGTTTCCAAATAACTGCTAGCATGCCCGAGCAGATTCCCTCTCTTGACACTGGCAAGAGGCTTTTGTTCCCTCTCAAAGCCAGCCCTCCTCAGGGCTTTTTAAAAATTCATTGCAAGAGGTGAAGCGTTGCCATTAGGCTCCCCCTCTTCACCTCACATACTTTCTTGCTCTAATCCAACATTAACGCTTGCCCTCAGTATACATTTAATGAAGGACACCAAAGAGACAGAGAGCTGATGGCCTGGCCCCTGCTCCCCTCTACCAGCCCGGTGGCAGTGCGGATTCCCTCATGCGTAGCCACACACAGCCTTAGAGCTGCATAAGGCTCCCAGCTTTGCTTCTTGGGAAGGCACTGGGAGGCTACTGGGTGAGAAAGGACAGCTAGGTCGCACGTACAGCTGATGATGGTGCTGTGGACGAAAGTTAATTAAAGCTTGATAAGTCTCTTTGTAGTTCTAACAAGGCTGGTGCTGCTCAAACAAGATAGATGTCTGTGAACTGTCACATCAGTCTTCAAGGGACGCAAAAGCCTGCATGCCCACTTACAGGTATTCATGAGGGCAGCAATGACATCTAGCAACAGCAGCAGCAAGATAAATGCTTCCAGGCCAGGCATCTGCCAGAATTAGGAAAAAAGACAAAAAGAAACCCCTGCTATCATGGCAACTGCTCACCAGCACCTGCCAGCTTAGGCCCAAATCCAGGTCAAAGCCAAACCAATGCTTGTAAACTCAGGGAACTATGTGGAAACCAAATTAATTTCCTTGACTGAGGCTCTGGCAATTTGTTTCAAGGAACCAGAGATAAAACAACGTTTATGGGGTGGGAGGAAAAGTGGTGGGGTCAAAATTATTCTAGGCTAGATAACCATGTCTTAATCCCGCTTTTCACCACAAAAGCTTCCAGGCCCTTCGAAAAGAAATATTTTTATAGGATTTACATTTACATGATGACTACAAATAACCATCTGTCTGCTTCTACTTTTTCAATCTGGTCCATGTCCCATGAGTCCTCAGCCCATGGCCAAAGCAGTGAAGCTGGAAGGAAGAAGCACATGCCCATCAGGAGGCTCTGGAATAATTGCCTTCTTCTCCCACTAGCACTTGGCTCTCCTCCTCCTCCCACCGATATAGACACTGAACATCTGATACTACCAGGGAGGGGAGGGAGGTAAAGCCTCCTTTTTCCATTTTTCAATGAATTATAATGTCTTAAAACACAGCTACATCTGTCATGCTGACTAGAGGGTATAAAGAGATATCAAGTAAATATTAATGTGCTTCTGTAACTTGGGTTCTACTAGTTTATCTTGTCTCTCCATTCTGTTTGGTGCTTATCTGAGGATATTATTACACTCACACAAGGAATTTACACAGCTGCACTGGTGGTAGGTTGGTCATGCAATGTGCAGGTAGATCTCCCTTGATCCAAGGCACGCCTATGGGCATTTAACTAAATCCTCATCTCACTGTGACTGCTTGGCACTTCTCTCATATGACACATAACGATACACACAGTCAACATGAATTATTATGTCAGATAACTACCCAGATGTCACATAGTGTACAGATTAAAGGATTAAAATATTTGAAATAATGCAATGTGCAGGGAGGTATTTCAGAGCTCGGGTAATAATATTTATAATCTACTTAAATGGCCTCAGAACAAGCTGGCACTGCTTGCTGGAATTGGTGAGCAAAAAAGAAAAAGGGTTCATAAATAACTTTCCTTGTGAAAAAGAATGAGGATTAGAGGATGCTGCTGCCCTACCTTTTGCTTAAACCTCTGTCACAGTTTGATAGGGAAGTTATTAACAAAATCACAATTTAGGTTATGGTTCTAAGCAGTACTCCAAAGGAGGACTGAACTCCTTCTGCATGTACACAACCCTGGAAAAGCTATCAACCATCTTGGAAATTTTTGAAAAAGCAGTGAAGAACTACACTGGTTGTTTTTTTTTTATTTGTTTGGTTTTGTTTTTTTTTCTTTTTCCTATCCTTTTCCAATCTCATGACATAGATACTGCCTAGGAGACATAAATGCCAGCTAATTTACTATGATTCAAAATATTCAGACTTTCCAAAACCTGAGAGACTCATTTTCAGAAGTGTTAGG